ATCATATTCATAATATAGATATATGAGAACCTTAATAGTAGCCCTATTATAGACTCTTACTGTATGGGGGCCGTACCTAAGGCTTGTTATAATCGTCCTACACCGGCCCTCAGAAGGGGTCTTCAGGGCTTTCGGGTTCCTGGGGTCCGGAGGTTTGTGGGTTTAGTGCTTGAGGTGGGTCTCTGCATTAACGTCCTGAGAGTTTCAGGGTTTAGGCGTATAGGGCAGCGGCTTAGGTGGTAGAAAGCCGTTTCCGGAATCAAGCACACAAACGCGCACACGTGTTGCAAGACCGGGGTCAGGTGATGTCCAGCTTCAGGAGGTTAAGCCGTGATTCTTGCCCCCCTTTCCACCGAAGACCGTAAACCTATATAAATCAAAGGGTTCCGGGTCCCTAAACCCTACACCCGGAACCCCAAACCCTAAGTCTAGCTCTGGCAAGATGAAAACGGGACTTCCACAAACTACAGCCACATACAGAAGCCTCACCACTGGTCGTGCTAGTCCCTGGGTGCCTTCTTCGACTTTTCTGATTCACTGCACCTTGCCCCAAAGAGCCTATGCTAATGACTAAGGCCCTCAAGTAAACCCTCGTACCCTAAACCCTAAACCGCGGTACCCTAAACCCCTATAAACCCTAAATCCTGATGTGTATCACAGGAGTGCCACGCCAAGCCCACGCAGCAGACACAACGGAACCTGAGCTGAGCAGCTTTTCCTTGCAAGAGGCCCCCCAGAAAGATGAGGGTTCAGGGACTAGGGCTTAGGGTATAGTGTAGATCATCGTTGGAACGCAAGAACACCTACGTGTCCCGGTAAGAAGGCATTTTGCATCATTAAAGAAGTCTACCCATAGGCCCATAGGCCCCATAGTAGTTCCTTTTTTGGATTACCTTATAGGATCCTACATATGAACCCCCAAAAAGGAACTACTATGGAGCCTACGGGTAGTGGCTATACCACACTATTTATCAAGGCCTCTGCATAAGTCGAAGCCTCGGCTTCCTTAAGAGGAAGTTGGGCGAGACCCAAGACAGCAGCAAGAACATGCTGTCGGAGAGCCTGGGACCGATGTCACCTCGTAGCATGCGATGTTTCAGGCGTCTGGCTTGCGGGCTAAGTGAAGCTTTTTACTGACAGGTTGGGCACTTGGGAGCTGTTTCTCGCAGCGGCTGTTTGTATTTCAATTCTGTTCGGCTCAACTCCGCATCTAGCGCAGGGTTTGCATCGTGGTTTCGGTTGAGTCTTTATAGGGCTCGTTAGGAATCTGGTCGAGTGTGTATTAAGGGTTTCACCACCTATGAGGATTCAACTCAGGGTGGAAGGTTTAGGTAAAAGGATGCAATGGTCCATTTCAGTAGGGATGTAGCTTTGCTAGTGAAGCCCAGTATTATGCCACAGCGCTCAGAAGTGCATCGCAGTGTATCTACCCAGAGAGCCCAATACCCCTTAATCAAGGAATATACCTTAAATTATATGGGGAATCATATTATGATTTAAGCTATATTCCTTAATAGGGGGTATTGGGCTCTCTGGGTACCGCTGCACTACAAGTTCCTCTGACAAGGGAAGGAGCGATTGCCGCATGAACCATCAGGGATTCACAACTTAGGGTCTTTTGCATACCTTGACCTACCACAACCTACTTTTTGTGGGGTTCCTCTTATAAATCCTAGTATGGAATTTATAGGGACCCTACAAAAAAGTAGGTTCCGGTGGGTTAAGGTAGGGTTCAGGTGTCTCACTGCACGAGACCCGATTGAGAACCACCTCTTCAATGCCCCCACAAGAATCGAACTCCTAATGGTAGCCATAGCAAACCAGACCCAAAGATCCATCATATGGGTTGTTGTCACAATTATGGTCCCTTTTTGGGTCCCTAATATAGTACAGCACCTAATATTTAGGGTACCCAACATGGGACCATAATTTTGACAACCGCCCATACCCTAAAACCCTTAACCCCTGAACAAATAAACTTCTAAGCCCCTAAACCCTAAGCCGGAAGATGCATCATAGAGACCCTAGCAAGAGCCAGTCGTTTCGCAACGAGTTTCCCACCTTACCTGCCGGCGGCACTAGAGGTTGGTACAGCGTAAAATTTAAAAACAAGCCGAGATAATTACTATTTTGATTGTTCTTATTGCTATTCATATTGTGGTTCTTATTCTTGGTCTGTTTGTCACTTTCATTACTATTCCTGGGCTCCTTGTTATATTGATACGATAACCTCCTCAACCTACTCTGATTACTAAGGCCCCTTCACTTGTATGCAACAGGCAAGGTGTTAGCATGACTTAGCATCTAGGATTATAAGGGCCTGAAGGAGTGGTTAACAGAAGCTGGATATAGTACAATATAGGGACCTTAATAATTAGTTACCTATTCTGTTTTGGGGGTTCCTTGCTATGGTTGTAAAATATTGGGCCCCAAATCCCTATTCTCATGATCAAGGCGCCTAAACAACCCCTCCCCCTCACAATACCCTCAACGTAATCCTTATAGACCCCTTTAAGAGGACCGCTTCAAGGGAAACTCCAATCGTTAGGGCGCCTAGACGAAACTCCCATAATACCCCTTACAGTAATCCTTCTAGGCCTTTTTAAAAGGACGCCGTCAAGGGAAACATTAAGACTCCCATAATACCCCTCATAATAATCCTTATAGACCCTTTTAAAAGGACCCCTTTCCTACTTGGAGGGTCGGGGGACTTAGTAATTGGTTATTTTAAGGACTTATAAGTACCATAACCCCAATTAGGGTCCCTTTTAGGGTACTTATAAGTCTACTTACTACCTACTTACTAAGTCCCCGACCCTCCAAGTATTCTAATTATAAAAGCGCCTATATTAGAGCAGCAAACCCGGGTCTGCTCGTTAAGGCCCCTATGTTACAAGTCGTAAGGCTTCCTTTAAGAGTTTAGGGTTTAGGGTTTAGGGGTTTAGGGTTTTAGGGTTTAGGGTTTTAGGGTTTAGGGTTTAGGGGTTTAGGGGTTTAGGGTTTTAGGGTTTAGGGTTTTAGGGTTTAGGGGTTTAGGGTTTAGGGTTTAGGGGTTTAGGGTTTGGGGTTTAGGGGATCCTTGAAGGGCTCCTTTAAGTTCTTGTGGGTTTAAGGTTTAACAGTTTAGCCCAGCAAGAGATGGTGGTTTCCGAAAAGGGTTCCTTTAAAGGGTTACTGTAAGGGTACTAACAGGGTCCCCTTAATGAGCTCTATAAGGGTTTAGGGTTTCCGAAAATTAGGTGTACCTTACTCTGGGGTCCTTAGAATAAGGATCCTACTAATTTAGGGTGCTATATTAGGGTCCCGCATTTTCGGAAACCCCCTAAACCCTAAACCCTTAATAGAACCCTTATAGATCCCTTAAAGGAGCCCTTAATATTAGGGTCCCGCATTTTCGGAAACTCGCAGATAGTTTTTGTTGAAGTCCTCTGCGCCCCAACAACGCTGAAGTCCCGACTCCCAGAGCCTTCAGTAAAGCAACTACTCTGGGAGTTAGGATTAGGGGGACCCTTGGGGATATAGACCCTCTCAATAAGGCCCCTTTTAAGAGAGCCAGAAGTAGGGTTTAGAAGGGGTACCCTTTAAGGGGTCTCCCTAATAATACTACCTATACTCTTAAGCACTGATAGCGGCCTTGCCATATCTGAGATTTCAGGTGGAGGAAGGAAAACCTCGATTTGTAGTGCTCCTTATGAATTTTTTGGGCTTCTTTGGACAAGTCCTTAATGCTCTACTTTTTAGGGCCCCTTTATCGTCATGGTTTCTTTTTTATTACAAGTCCTTACAACGGTGGGTTATTTGGCGTTCAGGGTGGTGCTGGTTCATGTACCAACTTGAGCGAAGGGGCTTGGCGTGTAAACCCTAAACCCTAAACATAAACCCTGAACCCGAAACCCCAAGCCCTGAACCCTAAACATAAACCTTAAACCCTACCTGTAGTCTCCATTGTAGTTCCTTTTTTGGGTTTAGCCAACTCTATATTAAGGATCCTAAAAGGTAACCCCAAAAAGGAACTACAATGGAGACTATAGGTAAGCCCTAAACCCCTAAACCCTCCCTTTCTGGGGCATAAATCCGGAGACCGCATACTGGGCGAGCTCCAGACCAGACCTCCTCCGGCCCAGGTGCCAGATATCACCCAGAGACTCCAACATCCCCTAATTAAGGAATATATACCTTAAATCATATTAAGGATCCTACTATAATTTAAGGTATATTCCTTAATTAAGGGATATTGGAGTCTCTAGGCATCTAGAACCTACGAAAACCTACCCATAAATGCTACGTATGTTTGGTTCATCGTAAGAACCTACGAAGAAAGCAGGCGATGGTAGGTTCAGGCACACTTTGGCCGTACGTAAAATCTTCCCTATTTCGGTATTCTGGACCAAACTATATACTTTCGGGCCGGTTCTCTACATTACGATCCCTTCTACGGTCCTTTGTATAAGGGTGCCGCCTCATTTTGGGTTCCTTCAAAGGGACCCTGCTTCAGAGAACTCCCCTTTGGGGTACATGGACCCTGTGGGAGAGTGTTAAACCTGAAGGACGGCCCTTTTTTTAATGGCACCTAGGGTTAGGGCCCAGAATCCGGGGTTGAGGGTTTAGGAAGTCGGCTTGATTTCGGGGCTGTAGGATACAAGCTCAATAGGGGGCTTAAATTTGCCTAAATTATTCTAGTTCCGAGCATACAATATCCCAAAACCCTATTTTTGTCGTTAAGCCCATACAGTAGGCTCAGGTCGTGCGGCTTAGGTTCTGCACCAAAGATGCCTCGACAAATGCCTGAGGCCTCTCCCTGAGGGTCCCAAGAGCCCTTTAGGGTTTAGGGTTTAGTGCAAAACCCAACACAAACCAACAGACCAGACAGACCGACGGACGACCGTGGCCCCACAGGGGCAAAGCTCTTTTCCACTGGACTACCCATGTGCCTTGATCCGGTCGGCAGCGACGCTCGCCTTTCACAGGGATTCACACTGCTTAGAAATCTCTTCACCTTCTCAGGTGCTTCGGAATGGGATCCGATAGATTCCCTTGACCTGGTTCCACCACTTCTTAGGGCACATCGGCTTAGTCAATACATCGGCTAATTGGTAAGACGTGGGGATCCAGTCAAGAGGAAGCTTACCGGCGTACCTCTCCCGGTGAAGGATTTGTCGAATTGCGGCTAAGTCTATTGCGAGCCGTTTATCGGTTGGAGTCCTAGGGACGCCAACCCGATGAAGGTGGTCGTACAGTGACCGGCAGTCTGTGAAGCACCTCAAGTGCTTTCCTTCAAGATCTTCGACCTTTTGCAGCTCCCCTTTGAGGATTGTCATAAAGACCGATCTCACATACTGCCCTTGCTCTAGCCCTTCAGAACACGCAATGGACTCGGCGGCGAAGGTGGACCGGCAAACGCGCTTTGCCGTTGAAGACTTCCAGTCGAGGATGTTGCACAGTCCTCCTTCTCGTAGCTTCTCCTGGTCGGTGGCCAGGATGAGGATCCCATACTGGCTGGCAACCTTCGTGCTAGCCCTCTTTGCTTTGCGGACCTGGAAGTCGCTGGGCACCTCTGTCATGAATCCTTTCTCGTGATCTTCGCGGCTTAGGCGGAATCCATCTTCACCTTCTAAGGGGACAACATTAGCCCACGAAGAATCGTGGAACACCATGAGCACGGGGTCGCTGAGGTCGATCTTGGTGAACTTCAGCCCATTGTCTTTGAAACTGACAGCTTTCCGTGACGTCGAGTTTGTGAATCTCACATCCTCGATAGAAGGATCTTTCTGCATCTGTTGAGCGATAGAGACGGACACTTGGAGATCTGGTCGGGACTGCACGGCCAGCCATGAAAGTCCACCAATCAGACTTTGGTTGTCCGTCTTCTGTTCGGTAGTGGCTCCTTCTTGATCGCGGTGTGCTTTGTCCACATCGACCGTAAAAAGTCGGGTGGCAGCGTAGGCTGTCTGGGTCACCTCGACGCAGTCCTCTTTCACCTCGAAATGTGACCCGATGTAGTCGAAGCTGTTCTCTTCCCATTCCTCGATGGGGAGGTGCTGGCTGAGGGTCTCCCGCAGCTTCACGGCCAGCTTTCTTGGCCCGACGACTAGCAAGTCGTCGACATGGATGCACAGGTACGCTCGCGGGGTGCCGCGTCGATCTTGTCCTGGGACGAGGTAGTAGACGCACGGGTCCAGGGCGCACGGCACGAGGTGGTAGGTCTCCTTGTCGTGGTTCATCTCGATGTCGTCAATGATCCTCTGTACTTCGTCCCACCAGCCTCGCGGGGAGTCAGGTAGTCCGAATATCCCCTTCTCAACCTTGAAGAGGGCGTCTCTCTCCATTCCCGGTATCCCGGTCCTTGGCTGTCGCATGAACAGCGTTCGCTGAAGCGGTGGTCCATTCAAGAATGCGGCGTTGACGTCGCCTGCACTTGCACACCACGGCTCTGGGTCGTCAAGGTGTGAGGAGAGGATCTGCATCAAGATCAGGACGGAGAGGCGGTTGACAGTCGGAGCGTCCGTCACAAGGGAAGCGACATCGGGGTCCTTGTGTCCTCCAATAATGAGTCGTGCTTTGGCTTTCCAGGGCAGGGTGTTGTTCTCTCTGCGCTTGGCGTAGTTCTTATCCTTGTATGCCCATCTGGAATTCAAGATGCGCTCCGGGGGCGTGACCTTGAGGACGGCGACTGTCTCCTCGTAGGTCAGGATACTCAGGGCCGCGTGGTCTAGGTGTTCTTTGATCTGTTTGGCCTCCGCTTCCTTGAAGGCCTGGTGCTGCTCGGGGGGTATGAGTCGCCACGGAAGTTCTTTCTCGCGCTGTTTCTCGCGGGACCTTTCGGTGGTGGCAGTCTTCATCATGAGTGCTTCATAGGGTTCGCTTCCCGGCGGCCGGCTCTTTTGTCTTCGGCGTCGTCCTTCAGGTCCGTAGTTGCTTCTTGGTGGGGCGACCTCTGGCTCCGCCATGGCATCATCGTTCGCAAGGTCGTGCTCGAACGGCGGTTCGTTCTGTTCATCGGGGTTGCCGGCTTCCATTTCGCAGTCCCCTTCCTCCTCTTCAGTAGCATAGTTGGTCGGATCGTCGGGGTCCGCAAACAACAACGTTTCGAGGTCCTTACGGGCGATCTGGGAAGAGAACAAGCTGCCAAGCTCTTCGGCTGTGCTCGGCCGCATGTGTTCTTCAGCCACCAAATGGCACCGTCCGGCATAGCTTATCCACCAGTTGCCGCCATCGTTGCCCAAGATGAGACCTGGACCCCTCCACTGGCCCCTTTTGTTGGTTGTCCCGGACTTGCCGAGGCGGTAGAAGCAGACCATTTCCCCGACGGCGTAGGACCCTTTCTTGACACGGGCTCTCTGGATGAGTCCCTTTCTCAACTTCACATCAACTTGTGAACGGTAGAAGGCAGTGCGAGCTGCCGTCCTGAGTGCCACCTCCCTCTGTCTTCTTCGATCGGCAGTCATCATCTCCATAGCCCGCTCTTCGTCGTTGCCATCCATGAGATCCTCGGGGTGCCGGGGATCTTTTCCGAACACGGCCTGGCATGGTGAATATCCGTGTCTCCGACGCAATTCGTTCTTCGCCTGGTTGGCCGCGGTCACGGCCAGATCAATGTCGTTCTCCCCGACGGACTGCTCGTCGATGATCTTCTGGAGAATGTCCTGGTGCCATTGACCATGCCGTTCAACAGTTCCCTGCTGCCAGTGTGCTTGACCTGCGGCAGCACGTAGCTTCACACCGGCAAACTCACAGTACTTTGCCAATCCGGCTTGTAAGCCGGTTTCCAGGTCTGCGGCTATGCACCCCGGTGCTCCAAAAGTATTTGCCCAGATGTCGACGAAGGCGTGCTCGAAGCTCTTGGCGGAATGCCCTTCTAGTCGCTTCACCAAATGGAAGGTGGTGCCGTGGTCCACAACGGAAAGCATCTCATGGCGCTTTCGGTTGATGTCAAACACGTGGAAAACATCGACGCTGACCAACTGGTTAAAGTCGAGGAAGGAGGGGAGTGATGCCGGCCTTGGTGCGGAAGCTCTCTTATTCCTGGCACAGACCTGGCAGCGCATGCCCTTGGCGATCTTTATGATGTCCTCACTGGCCCCGGCCAGGCGCAAGTGCCTAGTCAGGTCCGTGACCGCCGGGTGTCCGAGGTTTTGGTGCAGTCGTGTAAGAGCCGCTTGCACGTGAGGGGCAACGACCTTGTCAAAGGAGATGGCACTTGCCCCGACCGCGGTTGGTTCTTCGGAGCTCCTGGCCTCGGCCGCGTAGATCTCCCGAACTGGTGGTAGGTCACGGAATGGACTTCGCTTCACCCATAAGTAGCTGGCGTCGCCAATCACGTCAAACTTGTAGTAGTTCTCGGCTTGGATCTCCAACAAGTCACTGTCCCGCCACAAAGGGGACCCCTCAGAGGCTTCGTACACAACGGTTCCTCCTCGGTCCAACTGGGCGTTGGCAGCGTCTTTCATCCGGTCCTTCAGGACTGGGTGGTCTTCTGCATGAATCCACAGAACACGTGGGGCAAGGCTTTGGAGGTTCTCACTGAACTCTTTGTAGGTCCGCTCGCTGTACCAAACGTCGTTGCCGAAGGGTTCGGCGACATCGTGCCCCAGCTCAGCGGCTTTGTAGGTTTCCTCTTCGCCACCAGTCTCCTGTAGCGCCACTCCTGTAGTAGGTTTGGGGTAGAAGTCGCACGCGTAGGCGGTGGCAGCGTTCAGGGTGAGCGCGAAGAGGCTACCGGCAGTCGCAGCACTCTTCCACAACTTTCGTCTTGTGCTCTTCCTTGGTCGCTTGGTGACTTCCTCCTTGACGTGCTCGTCGGAGCAGTTGCCCTGGTCCAGGTCGCTCACGTAGGCGGTGTTGCCGTCGTTGTTGTCAAGGTTGTCGGTGATTGGGAAACCGAGACTTCGCAGAAAATCTCGCTCGTCTCGGGTCAAGCTCCCGACGCTACGGATGGCGTACCCCGTCAAAGAAGCCCGTTCTCCGGTCCATGCCTCTACGAAGTGCTTCCGGTGGGGGTGGAACTTGATGACCTTCTCGTTGGTGTTAACAAAGATGCCCGGGATCGCCTCTTGTTGGTCCAGCTGAAGTGCGTGCGGTTCTCCTTCCAGACCTTCTTGTTCTCCGCGTTCGATCCACACTCGTCCACCCGACTTTTGGCCAAAGGAGGTGGTGTAGTTGTAGCTCCGGCGGTAGTTGTTGGAGTCCCGGTGGGGTCCGGCCATGTTGCCGACGTTGATGCAGAGGCTGGTCCATCGGCCTCGTCCAGGTAGATGGTGCTTGATGTAGCTGTTGAGGTAGCGGGCAGCCTCCTTGAAGGCGTGGCTCTTAGCGGTCACCCCAGTGATTCCTCCATGGACGTAGCCACCGAGGACGAGGAGCTTTCCCCTTGTCTGGCACGATCGGCGGGGGGCATGCCCGGCTAACTCACAAAGCTTCTTGATGAACCATTCACAAACTCCCGGGCTGTAGTCCTTAGCTTGGCGAAGCTTTTGCACGTTTCTCCAGTGCCTTCACATCTGGGAGCTGCGCCTCGTAACACTCCAAGAACTCGCCGGTCTCGAACACAGTGCTTTCCCATGGGGTCTCGGGCTCGCAATCAAAGAAAATCTCCTCGTCATCCGGACGACCAGAGATTGGGTCCAGGTCTCCTGGACTCGACAAAAATGGGCCAAAATGGCGATCGTCGCGCCCACCTGCATCCTCACAGCCAGGGCTCATACTGGCAGTCGGCTCATAGCTGCGGTCCGACTGCTCTTGGGGCTCGATCTTCACGGCGGAGTGGGCGCGGGATCCAGGTTGTACTGGTCCCGCAGCGTGGCCAAGCGAGTATAGCAAGCGCCCGGAGCTCCTCTGCGATCTCCGGCGGCAGGTCCTGCTGCATGGGTGCTGGTGTGCCCGTCTCCTCCCGAGCCTTCTTGGTTCCCTGCCCGGGTGCCTTGGCCTTTGCCTTTGCATAACCACTCGGAGGCAGTGGACGCTGATCTGCCACCGACCAACTCGACAGCGATCCTCCCACTGAGCTCGTCTCGGCATCCGGGTGGTAGGGGATCTTCGCGTGGTCCTCGGGGTCCTCGATGGTCGGGGTCTCCCTGGTCGAAGCCCATGCGGCGAGCCTCTTCAAGTCGTCGCTCGCCCCCTTGTTCGCTGTCGTCTCGCGGATGGACCATTGCAGGTAGCTTTCCGGCACTTCTTTGAACATGTAGTTGCGGAACCTCCCGAAAGTCACAACTTCCTCGTCGGGGGCCCGCGTGAAGTCCCTGATGGCCCTCATGATCTCGCCCTTTCCCATGCGAGAGTTGATCGTCACATTGAGCTCCGTGGCCTTTGCCTGTAAGTCCGCCAAGGTCATACTCGACAATCCTTTCGGGATTGTTGAAGTGTTGTTCTTCTGGCGCCGTTCCTGGATGATCGATCTGATTTCGGGCGCTGTCCAGGTCGAGTGAACGGTCACCCCCATGTCGGTGGCGCACTGGATCAATTCGGCCTTCGTCATCTGCCATGGAGACTTGCTGCCGGCTGCCTTGGACATGAGTCGAGGGTTCGCGGGAAAGGCGATGGGCTGCTTTCGCAAACACTGTTCTTCCGACCCACAATGCGGCGAGAGGCATTGGAGGTTGACCTTGCCATGCGTCGTGAAGCGGTGGCATCATTCTGAAGCTCTGACATGCAACAGCCCATGTGCTCCTAAGACAGCCTAGATGTTCAAGTAGAGCGGCTTTGTGATCGAGGTTTGTAGTTCTCCAATGCTCTGGGCTAAACATGTTCTTTCGTGGGATGATGTGAACACGGATCCATTCGGCAGGGCCCTCAATCCAGAAGTCGTTACAGTGCTTTGTTGTGCTCCACCATGAGGAGAAGGCGGTAGGGTCGAAGGCTTCAGCTGATAACATGTTGTAGACGGCGGAATCAACCTTCTTTGGGAAGAACAACGTAGCTGGAAGTACTTGATGTGGTTCGGGGGCTGGTACCTCTAGGCTCACTTCCCTGTTCCCTGTCATAAAAGCTGTGTATACCGGAGCAGGCACACTGTTGATGATCACCTCGCGAGACCCCCACGCTTGTGGATCAGGGTATTCGAGGCCGCGGCGCTGGACAGGTGAGACCGGCACTGCGGGGTGGCCACTGGCGGTGTAGCACAGCTTGTGGTTCGTGATGTTCAGCTTCTTGAAGTCCGCTCGGTGGTTCTCGATGTCGTAGATCATGCCCAATCGGGCGAGTACTCCCCGCGAAAGAAGGAGAGGCACGTCTCCACTGACAACGGCTGCTCGGACCATGAAGCTCTTGTCTTCGACGTGGATGACAATGGTGGCGGTGTAGTTGGCCTTGAACAGCTTCGATGCTCCGAAGCGGAACTCGTCATCACATGGGATCAGCTGCGGCTCCCAGCCGGATCGCTTTGCACTGCCGATGTAGTCCTGGATCCATCGCTGTCCGGCGACGGTCTTGCTGCAGGCACAGTCTGTGATCGCGTAGAGGCCGTCACGGTCTCCATTGTCGCCAACCTCGTAGGCAATCTGAACGATGTAGCCCTCCTTAGTCGCACCGCTGCCGTCCTTATTCTCAGAACGGTCTGCGACTCCACCTCGGCCTTGATTCAGAGGACATTCTGGATCTCTGTGCCAATGTCCTCTGCGTTTGCACCCTGAGCAAAAGCTCCTGGACTTTGCGATCTGGAGCTTCTCGCCTGGGGTCTTCCCGTCGTTCTTCACAAGATCGGGGTTGATTCCCCGGGCCTTTGCGATCTCGCGGTATTTCGCCTTGGCGCTCTCCTGCGCCATGTAGGCCTCGTGCAACTCCGCTGCCTCCTCCTCGGGCAACTCGTCGCCCACAGTCGAGTTCACCTCGCCATCCGAGTCCTCGTTGTGCTCTGTCACGTAGGCACCCTTCGCATTCTTGTAGACCCCGCCTCGGCGAGTGTCGTCGCCAGTTTGTCCCCGGCGATACTGCCAGTGACCCTTGAGGCTCTTTTCATGTAGGATCGCAGCCCGTTGCAGCCTGGTCGTGTTGTACTCGTTGCCGACAGAAGCCAGGATGCCGAGCTCCTCGCTCTGCGAGAGGCCCAAGCCGTTGAGGTACGCCCATGCCCGAGCAACTTCAGGTAGTCGGCAATCTATCTCAAGGAGTCGGGTGTGGGCCCTATCGTAAGAGGAGTTGAACTCTCTGATGCTCTGCTGTGGCCCTCTTCGTAGTTTCCGGAAGAAGTGGGTCAGGGCCTCGGCAACTTTTGAGACCTCGACTTCTTGGTAGCGCTCTTGCACCCACTGCCTAAACACTGTGACCCCTTGGTCCGATGCGAGGCGCTCAACCGAGAGTTCTTCGGACTCGACCCAGGCGCGTCCTTGCAGGTGCTGGTAGAGGAGAAGGGCTTGTTGGTGCTGTGGGGTCCTGGTCACTTTGATCCATGCATCTATTTGTCTCAAATATGACCGTGCACTGGCACCGAGGTCGTCGCCGGTGGCCTCGGCAGAGAATGAAGGCACTGCCATACGCTCTGAGATATGGGCCTTCCTGGTCTCCCACTCATCGCCATTCGAAGTTCCCGTAGGTGCACCGTCTGGAGTCCAGGTAGAAGTCGTGCGCGGAGCCTCGGTGCCCGACCAGCGGCCTGGCCACTGCGTGTCCGAGCCATGGTCGGAGTCCCGTGTAGATCCGGTAGTCCCGGTCCAGTCGCCGGAGTGTCTATGCCAGGTGTGGCTGTCCTCCGGGTACCTGTGGTTCCACTCGCGGCGTGACCAGGATTGCTGCCGACCCCAATGGGCAGCTCCCCAGTCTGCATTTTCATCGTGCTCAGTCCAGCTTCGCTGTCGCCAGTCCCTCCCATGCCATTCCGGAGAATCGCTTCCTTGGTCTGGCGCCGGACCACTCGTCTGCTGATCTTCACCTTGCGGCGGATCGGGTAATGGAGCATGACCCGGGGCTTCTACTTCAGCAGGCTGATGGTCGCCGGATGCTGTCTGAGGCTGCCAGCTCGACCACGGGTCAGCGGGCACAGGCTCAGGTGTAGCCATTGGACAAAAACTAGCTATGCTAGGAGAACGAAAAGACGGTCAGACACGACCCTGAAAACCCAACACACCGACAGACAAACCGAACTGCCCGAGACCGCGGCTCGGGCTCCGCTACCAATGCAAAACCCAACACAAACCAACAGACCAGACAGACCGACGGACGACCGTGGCCCCACAGGGGCAAAGCTCTTTTCCACTGGACTACCCATGTGCCTTGATCCGGTCGGCAGCGACGCTCGCCTTTCACAGGGATTCACATTTAGGGTTTAGGGTTTTCTTGGACTTAGGGATTCGGGTTTTGGGTATATGGGCATTATACTTGGTATAATTTCTATTCTTGGGTTTAGGGCTTATAGGGTTTTAGGTATATGGGCACTATTCTTGGACCCTTAGGGTTTAATTTGTTGCTTCCCCGCCTGGTAACCAGCGGGGGCATTAGGCCGTTTTCTTGGGGCGATGAGCTTGTTCTCAGCAAGGATACCCAGGGTTTCACGTGGCCGCCGACAAGACGATCACGCTTGCGGCGTGTGATGGTCTGCAAGAGGGATGAAAGACACAGGTGTGCGAAGGAGACTCCAGATATATCAGAGTTTATTTGCGAGGTTATGCGCATGCGTGCGTGTATATCTTTGTTTGTCTTATGCCCGTCGTTGTGTGCTTATATCTGCAACTACATGTGCGTGTGTGTGTGTGTCAAGAAGGTATTCCAGTTTGTGTTCGTCTGACACACTCACGTAAGCTGTAACATTGAACCTTTCTAAGCCCTAAGCCCTAAACCCTGAGACCCCAAACCCAAAGCCCCTAGCCCTAAACCCCAAACCCTAAACCCTAAACCCCAAACAACCTTTTGCAGCGATCGAAGCCTAAAGCCCTATTGCTTGATGTAACGGGCCGTGGAGCCTCTCCAGAAACCCACATCCAGACTAAGCCCTTGTAGGTGCTCAGCGCAATTTCCATGGTGGGGTAGCCTAGAGCATAAAGCCCTAAACCCTAAAACCGAGCAAAGTCGCAATGGGACGTCTCAGAGCGTCGGTCGAATGGTTACCAAGCCCCCTAAGCTCTGGGCCTTAACCCGAGCCCGAACCCTACGTTCAGGTTCATGGGTAGTTGTAAGAGGGTTAAGGGTTTAGGGTTTAGGGTTTAAAGGGAGCCACTTATGTGGGTTATAACTATACTTGTAAACCGAGTTATAAAGACCCATGAACCTCCAAGGAATTCACCCAAATCCAAGAACAGCTATCGACAAGCTTCCCCCGTTTGAGTGACACCGCTTGAAGCAAGGCTGGTGCAGGGAGCTTCGAAAGAGAAGGCAGAAACCCAGAGGCTCCATAGACAGTACCATTATGAACTTTTGCCCCAAAAGACCATCCTTATCAGGGTTTTAGGGGCCTACTTCCATAATGGTACTGTATCTGGAGCCTCTAGGAAAGATCGTTGCAAGGGTGTGAGTTTTGGCGTTTAAATTCTCCTTGCCGGTTCCCAGAGAGCCCAATACCCCTTAATTAAGGAATATGGCTTAAATCATATTATGTGCCCCCTTATAATTTAAGGTATATTCCTTAATTAAGGGGTATTGGGCTCTAAACCCTAAACCCTAAACCCTAAACCCTAAACCCTAAACCCTAAACCCTAAACCCTAAACCCTAAACCCTAAACCCTAAACCCTAATCCTCAACCCCTAATCCGGCTAGTTTTGGGCTCCACGGGGCTTATAGTTCAGAAGACAGTCCCCACGAGCTCATGGGCTTGTGGAACACACCCCAAAAAATACCTAGAAGACTGAAACGTAGAACGAACGTTACTGCTATGGTTATCATCTTTATCAAATTCAGTGATCTTGCTATTGATCATGGGATACTACGGATCCGAGAGCAGCCCATGTATAAGGAATGGCCTTTTATCGCTTTAATGTATGTTCTTGAATTTAGGGATTGCGGTCTGCTGGGTCTCGATCCCCTAAACCACACACCTTAGCCTGATGCACCCAGAGAGCCCAATACCCCCTAATTAAGGAATATACCTTAAATCATAAGGGGATTCATCTTCTTTACTTAAGGGTTATTGGTTAGAAGCTGCCCCCACCCTGTAATAGTGGTATAATCGGAAGATAATAGGGCCCTAATATAATATTCATATAATCCTTATAGTCACTATTACAGGGTGGGCAGCTTCTAAGTTATTGGGCTCTCTGAGCAATGACCCTACTGCGCCTTAAGCTTCAATACTGCAAGGCCTACACGCTTAAAGCCTCAATAGCCCGTACCCTAGGGTTTAGGGTTTAGGGGCCTAGATACTCCTAATGTACAACAATTCCACGCCCAATAAAGTGCCGCTGGGCCCGACCGTGTAAATTGCACATGACCAGGGCAGCAATAGAATAGATGCCGGTGAATTTCTGGCTATTTTTTCAGATCTAGTGTTTGGCGGCTCAGGGGAGATCTTGTGGCTTTTAGAGTTTGTGGTATAGGCGTTTGGGGTTTTAAGTTTGCCGCCTGAAAATTTGAGGCTTGGAGTGTAGATAGGCGCCGGCATGCAGCGCAGGCAGGTGTGCATGTGTTTGAGTGTGTGTGTGTGTGTGTGTGTGTGTGTGTGTGTGTGTGTGTCTGTGGGTGGGTTTTTGAACAAGGCTTGATTTGTATCTCCACAGCTCTACGGGGAGAAACGCCGCTCTTTTTCAGCATCAGCCCATGACACTGTCATACTGCGCGCAAGCCTAAGCCGTGAGCCCTAGCCTAAGGGCTCTAAGCCCCAGCCTAAGGGCTCTAAGCCCCACCCTAAACGCCCTAAGCCCACATCCCTACCCTAAAGGCTGTAAAGCCCACGCCAGTGACTCCAATAATTACCGTCTTAAGTAAGAGTTCCCCAGTTTTGCAGGCTTGAGAAAGCAGGTTCTGCCAGAGTTGAAGCTGCCCTAATTGAAGAATTCCTGATTCGAAAAAAAATCGGAGGTCTCCATGCAAGGGATGCTCCCTAAGTGCAGGACCTTGAAGCCTCCGGGAAGTATCTATAGTCTGCATTGTAATTTCTGCCTTTTAACTTAACCAGTATTATTATTAGTATATTGGTATCCCCAAACAGGAACTGCACTGGAAACTATTGGTAGCATTTAGGGATCCCAGGGTTTAGGGGCTTAGCCTTGTAGGGTTCGCAGCTTGCGCCATGACTGGCGCCCTTGCATGGCTTGCCTTGCGGCTCAGTGTCGGGGTCTCAGCACGTCTAGTCACAAGAGAGAACGACAGACCTCATCACACCATAGTGTAGCGTGGTACAGTACGGTATCTAATAAAGTTTAGTATAATTATAGCAAATACAGCCTAGGTTAGTTTTCCGTTTTTCATCAGTCTTCATCTAAAGCGATAAGGTCGAATGAAGGAGGGTCTAAGCCTTAAGCCATGTTCGGTCTCCTGCGAGAGGGGAGATTCGTGAGAAGGGTGCATTTACCTTACAAGCTAGGTGTACTTTTGAACGTCCTGGAATTTTCAATATACAGCCTTCATAGTGACTTTTGGGGACTGTTGAAATCGACACGTAGCAAGCCAAACTCATCCCACTGCCTCGCAGGCTGTGGCTGTGGTCAGTGCCACGTTGCCTCAGCAACTTGGCTTTCGTTTATGTGTTTAGGGTTTAGGGTTTGGGGTTTAGGGTTTAGGGGTTTAGGGATTCAGTAGGGTTGTATACTGATGAGCTCGAGGGGTTCGGATTAGAGTCGCAAAACACCCTGATTTCGAGCACAGCCCCCCCCTCTCAAATAGTGTTTAATTCTGGGAGACCTTTCTTAACTGACGAATTCCTACAAGAAGTCTGTATTTAAACCCCGACGAAGCACACAGGACACCACCACAAATCCCGATGGAAAGCTTAGACTCCTCCAGGCCTTGAATTCCTGAAGAGCCCTAAACCCTAACCCCGAAACCCTTAAGCCCTCAAACCCCTAACCCCTACAAAGCCCCAAACCCTAAACGACCCTTAACCCTAAACCGTAGAAGACCTTACACCCTAAACCCAGAGGTCAGTGTCAGGTCTCAGGCAGCCACAGATTCGATTTATGAAGGCTGAAGGAAAGCACGAGGTTTAGATGAGATCTCCTAGGGTTTAGGCTTACCTTCTTCCCCTAAACCCTAAACGCTAAGCCGTAATCTGCAAAGCGCGAAGCCCTATCCTCGCCAGTTTGCGGCTCAACACAGGGACCTTGAAGATCCAGTAATCAAACTCCTACCTTCATACCCACAGAGCCCAATACCCCTTAATTAAGGAATAGAGCTTAAATTATAAGGGGACTCATATTATGACTTAAGCAATATTCCTCAATTAAGGGGTATTGGGCTCTCTGGGTAGTTCTGCTCTAACCCACCCCAAGGCCTTCGTTTCAGTTTCAGGCTTCTCTACTGGCTTCCTTACGCCTTAGTTACGGGATGTGAGGGTGGTCTACTGCCCTCAGCTGGGTTCCTTACGCATTCGTTACGGGAGCGTGCTCTTTTGTGGCTTAAGAATTTTATTTACGCTCACAGAGTCTGAGGCGGATCTTATTTGGGATTGCTTTTGCGGCGGGAATTCAAGGCCAACCTTGAAAATGCCCAGAGAGCCCAATACCCCTTAATTAAGGAATACAGCTTAAATCATAATCTGAATTCCCTTACTATGGAAAGACACGACTTTCTGGACTTCAAGGAGCAGTTGGCGGAGCCCCTGAAACTCCCCCAGGCTCATAAACCCTTTTCAAACACCTTGTAGCAGCCTAAAAAAAACCACAGCCTATAAAACCCCACAAATCGCTAAGGACCCTTCTAGCTCTGAGATACAGCCGTTCATCAGAGAAAAACTGCGACCCCCTTACGACTCCAAATCGCCAAAGTAGGTAATACTTAAAATTGACTTTATGCGTACTGTTCCTATTTGTGCAGATTTTCAAGCCTTGATAAGTTGAATAGGGCTTTGGGTAGATTAATGTACTATAAACTATGATAGGGCGCCCTTACAGACCCTACAAAATGGTATTACGA